TTTTGGGGAGCAAATGAGGGGCGGGTTATTAATCATAGCCTTTAACAAGGTGACAGTGTTCTGTGCGCTAACCATCAGAGGAACAAGTGACTCGATAACGCACACTGCTGACCAGAGCCAAGAGCTGAGGATAATGGATTATTTAGTAGAGGGGGAAAACTTGTGTGTGTCTGTGTGTGCTTTATACAGCAGATGGGTGCAAATAATTAGTAATGCATATACCAAGTAATTTAGTAAATGCCATTATTGAAATATGTACAGCCATAGATTATTATTATTTTTAATATATATTTATATGGCAGCATTTTGAATATTGTACGGTCTATTTGAATAAGAACTTTCAGTGAATCGTTTGGCAGTAGTGATGGGGTGTCAGTTGTCACAGCTTTGACAGCTTTTCAGTGACTTTGTATCAGCCAAAGGTTCACTAAGGCTATTATCAGCCAAATAATTTAGCAATAAATGAAATGCAAATATATTGTTGTTTTAGGATAAGAACATTAGCTTGACTACATGTTGAATATTCATCAATCGAAACTCGAGTCAGCGGATGAATATCAGAGTAAACTATTAAAATATTTTGCCCATAAAAGATAGAGGTAATTTACATAAAACTGTGTTTACTTCAAAGGGTAAAATAAAAAGCTGGATCCTTCGAAGGTTGATTGCGTCATTGTGGTGTAACAAAGGCAGTCTCTTTTAAATATGGCCTTGGAATTTCTAATCTGCTTCTTGGGAAATGCAATATACATCAGTTGGATCCTTCGCAGGCCAGACAACCCAGGATTCATCATCTGCTGATAGCAACATGATGGTTTTAGGAATTGGACAATGCACCTGTCAAGTGTATTACAAAGTAAAATGTACTTTTCACAAAGCTGGAAACCATGGAAAACTGGACCAGCTCTATACCCTCACTAGGGTGCTCAAGCATTCATGCTAGTACACCACAGGCACATAGGACTCAACATGTGCTGTGCAGTGCTCATGCTCTTTTTATTTATCGATAGAAAGTGCCCTTCCAAACTGATCTGAAGTGGCCCCAACATCCCACCCCCACACAATCTTCAGTTCACGCCCCCAGTTGGTGACATTCAGTGGGGGATGCTCTGGAACTATGTGGTCTGTTAGGGGCTGTCTGGTCTCTGTATGAGCGGAGCAGGAGTTTTGCATATTGCATACTTATTGTTGCATTGTCGACACTAAGTCAAACTTGTTCCCCAAGAGGCTGCCCTTTTTCATTGATGATGTTCATGATTTTTTTTATGGACATATTTTATTGGTGGAGTCTTAGGGGAGTGGAGGTCTGGTTTGAGGACCACAGGATTCTATCTCTGCTATTTCCAGAAGATGATTTCCTGTTGTCTCTATTAGACCTGGATTTCAACGTGCACTGGGACAATTTGCAGCTGAGCCTAACGTGGCAGGAATGAGATCTGTTGCCATGGTTCTCAACCAGAAAAGGTGGCTTGCCATTTCGAGGTTAGAGAAGAGTCCTTACCCTAGGTGGAGGAGTTTAAGTATCTTGAAGATTTGTTCACGAGTGAGGTAAGATTGACAGTGGCAGCAGAATGCAGTGGATTTATGGGTTCATTGTGCTGAAGAAGAAGCTGAGCCAAAAGGCAAGACTTTTTTTTTTTACCATTCATTCTACATTCCTATTCTCACCTATGGTCAAGAGCTTTGGGTCATGACAAAAGAACAAGACCTTGGATACAAGCAGCTAAAATAAGTTTTGCTTTGAAGGGTGGCAGGGCGCACCCTCAGAAATAGGGTGAGGAGCTCAAAATGAACAGAATAGGGTGAGGAGTCATCTGGGAGGAACTCAGACCAGAGCCACTCTACTGCCCCTCCACATCGAGAGAAGCCAGCTGAACTGACAAGGGCGTCTGTTTTGAATGCCTCCTGGATTCCTACCTAGGGAGGTGTTCCTGGGTTGTCCCACTAGTGGGAGGCCCCAGGAAAGATTCAGGTCTTGGTAGAGGAACTATGTCTATCGGCATGCTTGGGAATGTTTGAGAACCCCCAAAGAAACTAGAGGAAGTGTCTATGGAAAGGGAAGTCTGGGGCTGCACCCTTAACCCTGTCCTGGATAAGTGGCAGAAAATAATGATGACAATCTAGTTTATTTTTTATTAATTCCAATGCTCATAGATTCCCAAATATTTATTTATCTATTTCATTGAATTTTTATTGTGCAGTATGATTGAAACAAAGCAGGTTTAACTGCAAAAAGCACAATGCAGCAATAATTTGAATCAATCTACTCTGCTTGCGTGTGCAAATAGTGCAGTGCTCAAAAAAATGGATTCCCGGTCGAAACAACAAGCTGTGTGACTATGAGTAATGAGTACCTCAAAATATTCATATATAAGCAGGTTTACAACTTTCAATAAAATGCATTATTTATTGTATATGTAGTTATGCCAGTAATTAGCATGGGAAACTTTGCCAGAAACTTTTGCCAAAGATTGAAAGAACTGATTTTGGAATCAGTTCTCAATACCCAACCAAAGTAAAGACCTAGTTAAAAGATGATATTTCAGTAAGACATGATGTTAACACAGTTTTATAAATGCTTTTATTTTCACTTTATTTTTGTAGAAGAATCCTAAAAAAAATCTTTAAATACTGACAACAATGCTGAAATTATACCACTGAAATTGAAGACTACAGCAATTGAAGAGGAATTTACATTTGACATCACAGTAAAAATAGTATTATTAAATAGACGTTTGTAATAACAGAATCATTATAATATTTCACAATATGATATAATAGATTTGACTTACCAAATAAATGTGTTGGTGAATATTAAATTGTAATATTTGTAATGTGCAGCGCGATATTGAAATACTGATATTTTCAATAACAAATCTTTATCCTCTAAAATCATTTCTAAAAATAAAAACATAAACTCTTTTGATACTTCAGTAATTTGAGATAATTAATATTATTAACTGGAACACAGTGCAAGCATCCAGATAAAATGTAAAAATAAATTACATTTTAAAAATACTGTTACAACAAATGTTTTTTTTTTTTTTTTTACATTTCTTATACACATAAAGTGTATTTGCACAAAGTATTGCTATCGGATCGGTATCACAAATTCCAGCCTGAATTTTACTTTGCTCAGAAAGGAAAGCTGTGTTATTGAACGTCACTAATATATTGTACTGTCCCAATACTTTCAAAGAGCCCCTTTTAGGAGTTTTTGAAAATAACACTAAACTGCAATGTGCAATACAGCTCTAAGTGAATAAGAATATCCAACTAAGGTTTAAATCTGAAAGTGCAATGTAATCTATTGATTCTAAAAGGAAACAGTTGACTTAGAGTCAAATAAATGAATCGTCTTTTGTTCGGATTTTTTGCCTGCTCGCATCAATGTCGATACGTGACGTGACATTACCAAATATGAAGTGCTGGATCCGGTAAAAAGGTGAACACACCCTACCCTTCAAACACTAGCAGAGTGTGGGGGGTCATGGGTTTGATTATGGTGCAAAGTTTCACTAAGAGGTGACCAGAGACACTGATGTGGGGAATAAGAGTTTAAAGTTCACATTCAAAACATTACCACAGTATAGCCAACCCTGAGCAGCAAAGACTATTATGTATGGGACTTTGCCAGACTTTGACAGGGATTTTGTCAGTAACTGTTACAGTTTATATGGGCCAGTTTCTTCTTCTTCCTTATCATAACATGTAAGTGTGATTAAAATAGTTGTCTCATTTTCTTTAGCTTGCAAAACATGTATTTAATGGGGTATATACACACAGACTTTTAATTTTAGCCATTTCTTTAAAAAAAATCTCTTCACAACATCTTTACTGCCTGATAGTTATACAATATAAAGTGGGTCTCAGACTGGACAAGAAGCACTGCATTAAATTCCATTTTCCCCTGCCATGTCTTTAAAATATGACCGTTTATGCTACCCCAGTGTTTTCAATGGCTCGTCTGCTGATCTGCGCTAACGGTTACACGGTCTGTCATCTTGTGTTACGCTTGAACAACTAAATGAATGCTTAAGTCTATTTAACTGAATGTATTGTAATTACATTTCAACATTGATGCTTTAAAATGAACCACATGAAATTGAAAATAGTCACATTAAGCTTTCACTGGTAGTTTATCATTGGCTGAATAACACTTGCTGTGCATATACCCCATTGTGTATTGTAACTTGAAATCTCTCTGTGAGGCTTGTAATAACTTCTATTATTGATCAATGATTGTAATGTATCTCTCAGGTTAAATCTTAACTGGCATCCAAAACAGCATTGACAATGCGACACATGCTTTTTACTTTACTGATACTCATGTCTGTGCTCGCAATCCTCTGCCGTTTGTCGTTGCTATGGCCACCACCAGCTGCTCCTACACATGCGTAGCTGATTAAATTTTCAAAATAGTTCAACTTTTACAACTGTGTGTATTAATACTGCATGTGTGTTGTTGTAATAACTTGGGGTTGTGGTTAAGATTAGATTAATATGCTGGTGTTTATTGCATTGCATTAATGCATTGCTGCATTGGCCTCACACATACTCTATGCTACTTCATAACCAGGGTGGGCTTTTCTTTCCATCTCGGGTTAAGTGCAGTCAACCAATCCATCAGTCTGGGTCATCGGACCAATCACAGCAGGGGTTTGAGAAGAAATTAAATGCTGAACAAATCTTATGGGACTTTTTGGGGTGTGTAGATAAAAATAAAACCATATTATTAGACAATAAAAATATTTTTGACCTTGCATTTACATTAGCAGCCTGTTGTTTGAAAACCCCAAAATCAAAACATGAGCTTTAATAAGTTATAGTGTTTCAGGTTTATTACTTGCAGTTTTTTTTTTAAACCACAGAACTATACTTTAATATAAACTGTTTATTAATGCAGATTTAAGAACACACATTTTAAAAGTACTGGTTTACAGGATTACAAATCTTGTGTCAATGCACATTTAAGTGTTTGTGTCAGACACTGGCCTCACCTGGTACTCGCTAGGCCAGAAGGTGCTGACGGCCATCTCCACCTGATGCCACTGCCGCCCCTGAGATCCAGACACATTCCACACGGCATTTCCCCGTGAGCCACCGTTTACACGCACATACACGTTCAGACCCCCGGGACTGTGTCCATCACGGCTGTACAGAAAGTAACTGAACTGCACGCAGTGAGTGTCGTTCTCACTCAGCGGACGTAACATGAGCTGAGCCCGTTGTCCTGCACCATACTGAGAAGCATTTACCAGCATATACGAGCCTGAAAAAAAAAGAGAGATAAATTGTTATAATCTGGATTTACTTGGAAGTGTTTGTTTTGGACAACCACTATGGAACGTTACATAATTTTAGTTTGAAACCCATTCTGCCTCAAGAGTCAAAAAAAGAACCCCAAAGTATCAATCAGTGCATGGTATGCCTGCAGAATATATAGTTTCAGCCTCAACATCACAATGAGCACATTCAAAATCTGCTTGTTAAGTAGTACGTCATGCAAAGCGGCTTCCAGGTCCAAGCGCCATATCTAACTGTATGGGGAGACTCAGACTGAAATAATAAATATTTACAAAGTGATGTAATGCTTTTGAAAATCCCAATTGCATTATATATATATATATATATATATATATATATATATATATATATATATATATATATATATATATATATATATATATATTATGCTAGGGTTGGGTGGATAGACGATGCCATCATCCATTGCAGATGGCGAATAGACGGCATTGCGATCCTCCGCTCTGCCTCCACCACAGCAGCAACCATTCGCGAAAAACACACACTTGCCTCAAAGAGCAGTGCACATCAGACAGTTTATTTAGGATGTACCACTGGATCACGTCTCACAATAGTAGGTCAATGTGATAATTAATTAATCTTCTTTTTGAATCCATCAGGTAACGTGTCAGTGTAAGTACACTGCTTCAATCTTTCACTTTCACGCTTATATCTAGTAATTTTAGCGAAAACCTCAGATACTGTTGGTTGTGCACCTTTTTTTTACCAACCAAGTTTGCCGACGTCAACATAACGACACCGGTCACTCTGCATATTCATGCCAGAGTCCTGTGGAAAAAAAGAGAATGACTGGTGGTAATTTGTGTGTAACTTATTTATACTTATTTATGATTTGGTTATGGGTAAAACAAAAACAATGTGGGTAAAGTAGTTTATTAAATATACTATTATTTACTATTAGTTAATATATTAAGTATTAAGTATTATATTTACTATTAAAATATAGTATTATTAAATAATTATTCACCGTCGCCTATGACGACGATGCCATCATCCTTCAAAATGTTTCACATTAGATATTGTATGATGCCTATTATCAGATAGGATAATAACAGCCAGAACCTGTTTATTATTTTTTTTTATAAATTGTTAAAATATTGGTGTCTGTGATGCAGCATGTCCAGAGACTGGCGTGTACACCATGATTTTATATAATTTTCACTTTATTGCGTAATATGAATGAAAAGTAGTCATAAAAAAAATATTTTCTCAATTCAAATGAGTAGCGTCTTGGACCTGGAAACAGTATTCCAACTTGTCACAACTTAACAAGCGGATAGTCAAACTGCAAAATAACCAAATATGATTATAGTTAATTATTACTATTACAATTTGTTTATTATACTTTAGGAAGACATAATGCTCGACTAATTCAATCTCAATCAATCAATATCCAAGTATATCTATTCAAATCATCAGGTGATACAATAATCATATTGCAATTTGGATGCAATAAACAAATTAAGTTGAGTGATTGTTACAATGACTCACTCACAGAAATCTACTGGCGCAACACAAAAGAAAGAAAGAAAGAAAGAAAGAAAGAAAGAAAGAAAGGGCAACTGATGCACATACAGTACATAAACTACACCTTAGTCTCTGTGTTGGGTAACTAGAATGGAGCACTTGCTGACTTCACATTTAAACGCAGTGAGCATAAATGATTACAGTGGTGTTGGGGCAGGACAGAGTTCACTGTGGGTAATGTAGTTTAAAGCAGGTATAATCAGTGCAGTGATTATGGCTGCTCTGTTCGGGGAGCTCCACTATTATTAATCACGCTGGCACAGTTATTAAACCACTAATGTCTGCCACCAGGGTATCACACAAACTACATCACATACAGAGAGACAGTTTTAAAACGAACATGTACAAATGTAAGAAACCCCAACACATATTACACAGACAACAATGCACCTAAAATATTGAGTGTTGCTTCTTACTGTGTGGTGAATTGCTGTGTTTATTTTGTGATTTGCGGATAACATCATCTGTCTTTATTTTGATTTTTTTTTTTTTGGCAACACTTCAGTTTGTCACAATTAACATTAACTAATGGCCCATTACCTGCATATTATTAATATATTCACCTTATTTATTTTCTACTTATAAAGTATGAGCTTATTTTACATCTGTAATTGTACCTGATACCTAAACACATCAACTACCTGACCAACTATTAATTCTTTTAGATGAGACACTAAACCGAGGTACTGAGACTCTGTGGCAAATTTGCCCACTGGCATTTGTCCATTACAGCCTCCTAAACATCCCCATATCATCATTTTCTTCATCAGTCTGTCTTCTCTCTACCAATCAGCTGGTGTGTGGTGTGCGGTCTGGCGGATGCTACACACTGGTGGTGGATGAGGAGATTCCCCCAAAAATGGGTATAGAATGTCCAGAAAAGTGCTATTTAGATGTAAGGAATTCTTATTCTTATTCTTATTGTTATTGTTGTTGATGTTGTTTTTATCGAATCATTCATTTTCTTTTCTGCTTAGTCCCTTTTTTAATCTGGGGTCACCACAGAGGAATGGACCTCCAACTTATCCAGCATATGTTTTACGCAGCGGATGCCCTTCCAGCTCTAACCCATTACTGGGAAACACCCATACTCTCTCTCATTCACTCACATACACTACAGAAAATTTAGCTTACCCAATTCACCTATAGTGCAAGCCTTTGGACTACTAGGGAAACCGGAGCACCAGGAGGAAACCCATGCAAACATTAGGAGAACATGCAAACTCCACAGAGATATGGCAATTGACCCAACCGAGGCTCAGAACCAGCAACATTTTTGCTCTGACGCAATCATGCTACCCACTGTGCCACCGTGACTTATTATTATTATTAATAATAATAATAATAATAATAATAATAACAATTGTTTAGTTTTGTTAATAGTGTGAAGTGTACAATAAAATAAAGTGTCACTTAATTTGTTGAGTAGTTTGTTTGTTTTACTGTATATTAAATAGTTTTTATTTTAAGCACTACCTATTAGATTTGGCATGGGTCCTTTCAGTATAAAAAAAAAATGCTACATTTAGCATTTTCAGTGTGAAAATCTGATTGTTTAATACAGTACTGGCAAACAGTAACTCGCTTTACAGAGCCACATGGTGTGATTCCTGTTGTTAGAACAAATGGATGACAGATTGAATAATAGTAATTAATTCTGCTTAAAAAAGCTAAACAACAAGAAAGTTATTGTGTTTCTCAGATGTGGCATTTTCTAAAGCATAGCATGTTGTTCTGTTAAAAAAAATACTTCAATAGTCAAAACAGGTGGCAGTCATTAAAGATACATTTGAGTCTTTTGCTTTTTACATTATATTCCCAATTCTGAAAGAAATTATCCCAATGCAGTGATAAATCTGTAAAGAAGACTATTAATCAGCTAACCATATTAATTAACTGAAAAACATATATTCATTAATTTAGAAGCACACCAGAATCCACACAGATTCAACAAACCACAGTATAAGAATAGACAAGTTAAGCTTAAAAAATTAACAAGAATTTAAAGAATAAATTTAGATTCTTCATGTGTAATGGAGGTACAATTCACTCTTCTAGCCTCGAAAGTTGTTAGGGATGGGTGATATGGCACAAAATAACAAGATTCATATCAAAATACCGTAAATATACTTCATTATCCATTTAATACATGTCAACATTAATAATTTGATAAAAAATGATATATAAAATATATAAAATGGCCATTATGTAATAACACAGCTCTGTGGGATCCTTGTTAAATTAAAGATCTTCTCTTTCTTCTCTTTGTAACCATTTATTAATCAGTGGCTACCACAACGGAATGAACTGCCAACTTATCCAGCATATGTTTTATGCAGCGGATGCCCTGACAGCTACACCCCAGCACTGGGAAACACCCATTCACTCTTGCATTTCCACCCACACATACACTACGGTCAATTTCGCTTATTCAATTCACCTATATCACGTCTATAGACTGTGGGGGAAACTAGAGCACCAGGAGGAAACCCATGCCAACATGGGAGAACATGCAAACTCCACTCAAAAATGCCAACTCATCCTGCTGGGGCTCGAACAAGTGATCTTTTTGCTGTGATGCGACAATGTTACGCACTGCGCCACTATGTCACAATCAATCAATCAATCAATCAATCAATCAATCAATCAATCAATCAATCAATCAATCAATCAATCAATCAATCAATCAATCAATCAATCAATCAATCAATCCTTTCACACATAGTCCAATAATGATACTGCTTTATTACTGTCCTCTGCAAATAACTACAGCCGAAGGTCAGCAGCTGCCCTCCATCTACATTTAAATTTTAAACCATGTTGTTTCTTCCGCATGACTGTTTCAAACAACAACCCACTGAAGAACAACTTTGCAGCTCCATCGCCCGGAAGAGAACATGAGCGCTTGTTTTCAGACTGACTGTCAGGTTTGTATGCATGAGCGCTCTTATGGAACGGACTTTAGAGCCGCAGCTTAAAGAGAACAGAGGATAAAAGAAGCTTCTTAAATCAAAAGTCCATCTGACAGTCTTTATGCAGATCAGGGTCTGAATGAGCATCAGTGCCTGCGGTGAATCGCTATGACAGTCATAAATGAAAAAGTGTCGTATCCTGTGAGAGCTCAAAGCATCAGAATGAGATTTTGGATACAGAGGCAATTGTAGGACCAATTCAGAATCTTTGAAGGGAAACTGGATGCAAAACTTAAATAGTTTTTTAAAAGTTTGCGGCGAGATAAAAATGACCAGACGATGTGGATTGCTCAGATTTTGAATGAAATTGAATTCATTCAAGAGATTACATGGACTGTATTCAAGTCCAAGTTTATATAAAAGTAAAAAACAAAACAAAAACAAAAAAAACTTAATTCATACATTTAAAAAAGAGTTTTCTTTTAAAAACTTTCTGCCATTATCAGCG